CGTCGGGGCGCCGCTGCTCCGGGGGCCGCGCGGCCGACTCTCCGCGCCCAGCCGCGCCTCAGCCGCCGCTGCCCGCGCGCGCCGCTCGCATTCCCCCACTCGCCGCGGCGCGGCGCCTCCTCCGGCCGCGCGGGGGAGCGGCGCGGGGCGTCCCTCCGGGCCCGGCCGCTGCCGCCGGAAGAGCCCGGCTCGCCGGGGCGCCCGAGTGTCGCGGAGTGGCGGCTCCTAACAGCTCGCCTTTGAAAACGACGCTCCGGAATCGGTGGCGAAGCCGGCAGCCGCCGGCGAGGCCGCCCGGGCACTGGGATGGGGGCGCGGGCCGGCGAAGCCCCACCTGCGTGCTCGGCTGCGGACCCAGACCCGCGCCAACCTGCGCCGGGTCCTCCCCAAGACCCCAGCAGGCCCGGGGCGCCTGCGGGCCATAAGCACGGGACAGCCAGCGCCCGGGAGGATGCTCGGAGCCCTGGTCCCCACCTGCGAAAGGAGCTGGACGAGGTGCAGAGGCAGCTCGCCCCTGGTGTTCCATCCTGACAGGCCTCCGCCTGGCACATGGAGAGACCAACAGGGTGCTTGGGTGAGACTGACAGGAAAACAGGAAGTGTGCATTTAGGTTGAGGAAGGACAGACCGTTTGCCAAAACCTGAAGTCATGGAACTTAGTGGAGCCATCACTTAGTATCACCTTATGTGGCCTAGAGAGTGTGGAATACTTCCCTGGAAGGGCAAACCCAAGATGAAAATAAAGAGGTCCAAGCTGGGCACGGTGGCCGCACGGTGGCCCCACAGTGGCTCATGCCTGTAATCCCACTGATTGGGAATTCAGAAGGCTGAAGTAGGGAGATGCAAGTTCCAGGATGGCCTCAGAAAATAAGTGAAGCCCTAGCAAGTTAGTGAGATCCTGTCTGAAAAAATAAAAAGGGCTGGAAATGTTCAGGCATAAAGGGCCCATGGGTTCAATCCCCAGTATTCCCCCCAACAAAATTAAAAATAAGGGATGTGTTGAGACAAAGTAAAGGAGTGCCAACCACACAGGCTATTTATCCCTCTGGGTTGTGGGCAGATGTTCAACCTGAAAGGGCCAGGAGAGCCACCATTGCCCTCCCATCCAAGGTGGGTAAAGGTGTTCCATCAAATACTGCCCCCTCAGTTCCTTCCCTCCACCAGTCTGCCCTACGGTGCAATAAGATTGATTTCTGGAGCATTTCCAGGGTGAGGCTCTTTGAAACTTTGCTCTGTCAGTAGGAACTGAGCTCCGAGACAGAACATCATTGTGGCATTTTATTAAAACGTTCCCCAGCATTGAGAACTAAACCTAGGGCCCAGCAAGTTAGGCAAGCATTTTACCACTGTGCTACAGTCCCCATTATAACCTTTTTTTTTTTTTTTTTTTTTTTTTTTTTTTTTTCAGTGCTGGGGATTGAAACTGGGGCTTTACATATGCTAGGCAAATGCTTTATTACTGAGCTACACCCTAGTCCCCACTGTAGCATTTTGATGACTATACACAAATGAGGTAACTTCAAGGACTTATATATGCCTGAGACTTTAAAAACACCATTAAAAACTATCTCAGCCAGGCATGGGGGCACACACCTGTAATCCCAGCAACTAGGAGACTGAAGCAGGAGGATCACAAGTTCAAGGCCAGCTTCAGTAATCTAGTGAGACCCCCTCAAAATATAAAAAAGGGCTAGAGAGGGCTGGGGTTGTGGCTCAGGGGTACAGCCCTTGCCTAACAAGTGTGAGGCACTGGACTCAAATCTCAACACTACATACAAGTAAATAAATAAATGTCTATTTACAACTAAAATATATATATTTAAAAGGGGGGAGGCTTGGGATATAGCTCTGTAGAAAGAATCCCTGGGTTCAGTTCCCAGTACCGCCAAAGTAGGTATGAATAAATACACTAATACCATAAGACAGTTCACATCCACAAATATTTATTAAATGTCCATATGTGCCATATTTGAGAAAGACGACATGATTCCTGGTCTCGTGGAGCTTGATGACTCATTACTCCAACAGTTGACTAGATTTAAAGCAACTGCAACAAGCACTGTCATTTTCTACCCATCAGAGCACTATATGTGAAGCATTTTTTTCACATTATTGGTCACTGTTACAGTGAAATTGTTAAATACACAATTGTCCTTAAAATCTGTAGTCATAGTGACAACATGGTACACAACGTCCAGCAAGTACAAATTTATGGCTTGATTCCTCATAGAGCTGAGGTCTCTACTGAGATAAAGCACAAATCAGATGAGAAAAGGCTTAGAAACAGGTCCTAAGAATACTGGTATCTTTTAATACATTATCAAACCAGAGCTCTTGACAGGGCAGGAAATTATTTCCAGCAAAATTGTGCAATATAATCAGTTTAGTGAGACCCAAAAAGTCTCATAACCAGATATATTTTACTTATGACAAATATGATTTACCTTTATGATTCCTAAAGGGCTCTAGATGTACATCTATTTTTAATTAATTAATTATTTTATTATTGTTTTTTAGTACCGGGGATTGAACCCAGGGGCACTTAGCCACTGAGTTAATATCCCCAGCCCTTTTTATATTTTATTTAGAGACAAGATCTCATTAAGTTGCTGAGGCTGGCTTTGAATGTGTGAGCCTCCTGCCTCAGCCTCCCCAGCCGCTGGGATTACAGGTGTGCACCACTATACCCAGCTTTTTTTTTTTTTTTTTTTTTTTTTTTGAGACTGAGTTTCACTATGTTGCCCAGGCTGGTCTTGAACTCCTGGACTCAAGTGATCCTCCCACCTTCCAAGTAGCTGGGACTACAGGTGTGAGCCACTACACCCAGCTACATTTATTTTTTAAAGCTTGGTTCTCAGACATGCAGAGCAAATAAACATTAAAATTTAGTAAAAACTGTTATTATTTAAAAATTAAAAGGATGAAATGTCTAATTTTATTACATATAAACCTTTCATTTTATTACATATAAACCTTTCATCTATGCATGTAATAAAATGTTCCGAATTCAAACAGCATTCACCAAATCACCTGGCTTTCCTGGATTTAAAAGGCAAACACTCTCTGGTTGGTTATCAATTTCCAAGTGGTCATCTCTAAATTTTTTTTTAAGGTGGACACAATATCTTTATTTTACATTTATGTGGTGCATACTAGGCGAGCGAGCTATCACTTGAGCCACATCCCCAGCCCCCATCTCTAAATCTTTAGGGGCCCAGTGGCTGGTACTTCCTTCACATGGTCCTGTTCAAGGCCACCCCATCACCTGTAGAGGTCTACTCATGGAACACTTGAAGGAAAAGTTATTTTTATTGCAGTGGCAATAACTTTTAGGAAAACAGTCTGTATTTATTTCTAAATTCCCAAATCACCAATTTTATTAAGATGAAAGTACTGTCTGAACTAACATTTGATAGGTTATCCATTTTAAATTTTTTAGTCATTAAGAACAACAAAACCCACACCAGAGGAACGTTCCTTTAGACTCCAAGAAAACCCACGTTTTCATGCAAAGGGTATAGGGTCTTGATTTAACATTGAGCAGCCATTTTAAATGTTAACTGCCATCCTACAAGATATTAAGTTTCACTTTCCTGTACTTCCTCTTACCTGAACTCCCCACCCCCACCTCCTAGGTAGTGACCTACCCCATGGTACCATAACCCTAAGCCAATCTCAGAAGGACAAGACCCCTTTGCTCTGGAAAGCCCCATGATGCCGTCAACCTAATCCAATCCCATGCCATTCCCACCTGCCTAGCTCAGACGCCCTGAACCTATCCCACAGTGCCATAGCTCCAACTCCAAACCCCTACCCCACAAAAGCTGAACGCCCAAACATCTCGGGGCCTCTCTCCTCTCTATAGAAAGATGACCTTTGTCAGCTTTGAGAAATAAACCTTTGTGTGGATCTCTGCCTGGTCTCTTCCCTTCATTTCTTACTCGATTTCTTACTTGCCCTTCTCTCGCTTTCTCACTTTCTTTTCAAGGAGCAAGACCATCTTAGACCCCCAACAGAAATGCCAACCGAAGATGTATTTTTTTTTTTAAGTCAATTGCTTTGGATATAATCCTATTTAAAAGAAATGGTGGAGTTCACCTGTAATCCTAGTGACTCAGGAGGCTGAGGCAGGAGGATTGAAAGTTGGAGGCCAGCCTGAGCAATTTAGAGACCCTGCCTCAAAACAAAGTAAAAAGGGCTGGGTGGGATGTAGCTCAGTTGTAGAGAACCAACTGGTTTAATCCCCAATATCACAAAACAAAACAAAAAAACCTTTTTTGGCTTGTGGTTGTGGCTCAGTGTTAGAGCACTTGCTTAGCACGTGTGAGGCACTGAGTTCAATTCCTAGTATCACAGAGGGGGAAGAAAAAAAAGCAAAAGCAACTGTTACCTTAAAAGCCCACTTAACTCATACTGAATCTGAAGGTATTATTTATGCACACTTATTAAGCACCAGGCACTTGACAGAATCTTCATTAATGAAAGGGATCCTATCACAGCTGG